ACCTCACTGAGCCCGTTTCATTGCCCAGGAGTGTTACTCCATACTTGGTTCGTATAACCTCTGTGCAGTTCATAAATGTACTGAGAACCTAGTATGTGCCAGACCCTTTGCAAAGCAATGAAATTAGGTTCCTGCCTTCAGACTGTGTATATGGATTATTCATAAATACCCACTACAGGCCAGGCATTTTACAGACATTATAAGTGACTCTTATGATGATGGATTGAGTTTTATCTCCACTAGACAGATATAGCATCTGAGGCTCAGAGAGGTCAAGCAACTTGTGCAAAGTCACAACTACTAAGTAGAGGGCCTGCCTTTTCCCGCTATACCAGCCATGGAAATAGGGACTTGAGGAGTATGTTCCAGTGTGTTCCATGAAGTCCCTCCTTTTGCAAGGCCCAGCTTAGCCTAGGACTTAACCACTTGAGAGTGGGTTCCAGTGTTCAGGATAACTTGCAGAAGGAGTTTACCACCAGACTTCTCAAAAGACAGATTGTTATCCAAACCCCACTGCAGCTAGCAGTAATCAGGTTTGGGCTGCTGAAGTGACTGCGTTCATGGGCTCAACTCTGCTGAATGAACAAGCATTCTCATTTCAGTTTCCTTAAAGGGGCGACTGGTTGGGCGAAGGCAAGCAGCTCACAACTGGTCTCCGCCTGCTTATAGAGCAGCAAGACTGTTCCAGGAGACCCAGACCCTGGAGGGAGAATCCAGCAGGATCCCAAAGCCCTGCTGACTCACACACCTCCTTTCTCAAGCTCGCCCACGGCCCATGGCACGGAAGGACTCTCCACTGTGCCCCCAGCTAGCCGCCCTTCCTGGCTGGGGCTCAAGGCAGCTTCCTCCTTCCCTAAATAACACATTCGCTCATGTCTAGGGTTTGCAAATAAAGCATACTGGGAGAACAGGCATTTCCAAAGTTGCTTACTCAAAGGAGGGGAGGGAAAAAATTAGAGTTTGAAGCTATCGTAGTTTGGCAAAGTTAAATTAATAAATGCAGGACCAGAGCAAAATAACTTACCCTGTTAGTCCCTGTTTCCACTCCTCAACTGTGAAACTTTGTCACCAGGCAACAAAGGACTAGGGATCAATTAGCATAATCCTGAAGCCAGCCTAGGAAGTGAAAGGGCGCAGGCGCAGGGGAGAAGGTCTCCAGGGCGCAGGTGCAGGTCAGGCCCCGCCTGGCCCCCACAGACCCACGCCCAGGCCAGAACCTGCAATTCCTGCAGCTGTGCTTTGTCTCCTGGTTCAGCCAGAGGATTAGAGGATGGGAGGAAGCTGGCTTTCCAGGGAACCGCCCACAGAGGGAAGAAGCCACGCCTTTCCCTTTGAAGGGACACATATTTTACTTCAGTGGCATTCAGTTCCATGAAATATCACTCCACTTCCTTCAAATTTGTCCAAATATGTTTCTGCTCTTTGGTTTCTGAGAGCAGTGTCTTTTATATATTTATTTATTTGAATTTGATTATCTCTTGCTGTTTTGTTTCTCTTTGCACCCTTTTTACACTATTAAATCAGGGTAACTATAATAGTCATAAAATCGTACAACTCTGCAGTCACTTTTTTCCTCAATTTATTGTATGTCATTAAATGCTGATGTGTAGTTTCCAAAATCTACATTGCGAAAGAATGCACAATACTGAGTCTCCTGGACTTTGCTTTTACTATTGTTTCCAATTTGGCACTTTCGTGAATAAGGCTGCAATGAATATATTTGTACATTTATGGTCTTTTTCTCAGTGTTTTTTCCTTACAATAAATTTCCAGAAATTGCTAAAATGAGTGAAACAAGCTAAGTGTTAAAATTATTATGCAAAGGATAAAACATGGTAGAAAAATACCTATGCAGAGATAAAAATGCTTTAAATTTCTCTACCGAGATATGAATTAGAAAATAAATACAATAATTGTCAAATAAATAAAGTAAATAATTTTAAACTCAAAATTAATCTAAGCAAAAAAAGTTTGGAAAGTACAGAAAAGCAAAATGAAATAACTTCAATTTAGAAATAAAAATAAGATAAATCATTAAGGGAGAATTAATTAACTATAAAAGTTTGAATACATGAACACCACCAGTATTTTATGTTTTGAGTCCAAAAATAAAATAAAATACATTATTTAGATAGTAAATGGATTGAAATGAATTAGCGAACGAAGATAACTAGAAAATTAAAAATTTCCCAAAACTTCAGTACCCAGAATATTTCTAATAAAAATGTATATAAAAATACATCATTTAAATTAGTAAATAATGTAAAATCATGAAACACATAAGCAAAAATAAAATTAAAGAAGAAAAAACTACAAGAAGATAAATACACTTTAAAATGTAGATAAATAAAACCTTACAAAAATTAAAACCACTGTGATTTTGGCATCTAAAGGTAACTTCATATTGCATAAACTTCCAGACTTTTAATACTTCTATAGCTTGATGTTATGCCATGGTTTTGCACTAATAATGTAGTAAATTTATGAATGCTCATTTTTTAACTAAAGGCCTCCAAATATATATCAAATACTAGTTTGTCAGGTGGCTGCTTTTAATGTGATCAGGATGAAGATTTTGTTGTTTGTCTACATTTGCTTCTTTTCCCCTGCAGAGGAAAGAGCCTGGTGTCCAGGTCAGGAGCCTGGTGTCCAGGTCAGGGCCCCGGGCAGGCGCTCTCAACAGCCCGGCACTTCAGGTCTTATGGGCACCTGCTTGGGCCAGGCCTGGAGGTGGGCGCCCTTTCACCCCTGCCCCTGCCTCCGTTCCCTCGTCTGTAATCGAGGCAACGGCTACGTCACTGGGTCTTTGTAAAAATTAGACAACAGGTAAAAGTCTTTGCAATCTGTATTGGGCTAGACAGTTATTAAGTGTTATTATTATGGGTCTAGAACTGTGTGCAAGATTTCTACAGGTTAGGGAAATAAAGAAAGGAAGTTATAGAAAGGGTCACTGCCCTGTTAGCCCAAGGGGATGTCTCTGGCTTGAAGAATGTCTGTCTCCTCGTGCATGTCTATGGACTGTTACCTAGACCGGGAAACCAGACTGTAGGCTAAACCACATTTACTTCTGAGAGGAAAGGAATGGGGAGTGTGTTTGGCTTCTCACTGGCAGGCCAAACTGGCAGGCCTGCTCATGCCACACGCTGTTCCCTGGCATCGCCCAGCTCACGTGCTTTCTGCTCTGGAGCCCCCGGAGAAAGGCTGTGCAAAGTATGGTTGCCCTATCCTGAGAAATAGTCCAAATCCTGTAGCAGGCATGTGTTCCAGTTTGCCAAGATTGGTGAATTTTCCTCTTATTGTGATTGTGTTTTTCTGAGACCTCTTAGCTCAAAAATCAAACCTCTCAGTTACTCACTAACCTGAATGAAACCCCTCAGTTACTAGCTGGTTTCACCATGTTCTTATAACTGTTTTGCAAATAGGCAACACAATGCAAGAGAATTTGGATGGGCAGTGGGATTTTGAGAAGTGTCTGCTTTAGCTCAGGGGCCCAGGTTAGCCCGGGGGCCCTCCTTAGACATCTGCCAGTTTAGGGTTTAGACCTAGCCTCCTGGTCCCAGAGGTGAGGAAGAGGATGGGCACAGACCTTCAGACTCCTTCCTGGACTGAGTGGGTGTAGCTTCCATCCAGATGGGTCTCTCAGCAGAGACCCTTTGTTCTGCGGGCTAATCCCTAGAGCTGAAGGCCCAGCTCTAGGCTCCTCTGCCAGCCCATCTAGGGGAGGCGGGAGCTCCTGGGAGGTGCCTTTAGCTCCCTCCACGTGGCCCACTCGGGGTTCTGGCTTCAGGGTGGAGTGGAGCTGGTTGGGCAGAGGGGCAGTGACACTATGGAGCTTGGGGTGGGGAAGGCCCCAGGGCCCCGGGCAGTGGCACCTAAGCTTATAAAGCACATCTAGGGAATGAAGGACACAGATTTGCTTGAAGCTCTGACTCGAGAGGGGAGGGGAGGCATGGGCAATATATATAACCTTAACATTTGTACCCCCATAATATGCTGAAATTTTAAAAAAATGGGAAAAAAATGAAGCAGCGTGGGCAAAACTTACCCCTCAAAATAAGGGAGAATTTGAACCAAGTCTAGCTGCTGACCATGCAAGTTTGGATTTGGAGATAACCTCCCACCTTTGGAAGTAATCTGGCAGAGGCTGGTCACCTGCTCTGGGCGGCGAGGGATGGCGGGTCGACGCGATGTCCTCTGTGGGCTCACGCATGCTAGCCCAGTGTGGGCGGGCTGGGTACCCTCCCATGTCCTCGCTGGCTTCCTCTGCATTCTGTTCTTCTCCAGTCAGCTCCCAGTTGCCCAGGAGCCCGGACTCCTGCCCTGGAGCTCAGTGCAGACCCCAGCAAGCCATGAGGAACTCCTCACAGCTGTCACCTGCTGGGCTAATGAGCAGGTGATCCCATTTATAGGTTGCACATTATTCTGAGACAAACCAGGAGGGGCCGGGCAAAGCCAAGCAGGTCTTGTCCAGAAGCAGGTCCCCACTCTGCTGCCACACTCTTCTTCTTCCCGGAGTGGAAGAGATCCACCCTGCTCTTGCATAGCACCAACACCCACCAGAACCAGCCTTTTCCAGACCCGTGGGTGCACTAGCTCTTCCCACGCTCCTGCGTGGCAGGTGAGGTCAGCATGTTGCAAAGAGGAGATCACAGTCAGAGAGGGTTGGGGTCTTGCCTAGGGCTCCCCCGTTAAGGGGTGGAGGTAGAATTTGGATCCAGGTATCCTTGACTCCAAAACCAGAGCTCTTTCCCATACTGCCTCCTCTAGACTCCTCTAGGCTTCAGAAAGCCAAGAGTCACCTCTAGCATCTCGTTTAATCTAAACTTTGCACGATAATGGTAGGTGATGCAAGATGCAGTTCACTAACTCTTAAGGAAACACTTTCAAGTAATCACCAGATATGTACAATATTCATACAGACCATTTCTAGAGTTCTGTAATTGCCTTCAGATTAATATAATTTTAAAAGAATATTTAAATATTTTAAAAATAGAACTCACCTTTGGTTAGGTGTCTGGGCACTGCTGGAAGGTGATGGCGCCTTTTCTGATGGTGCCAGGAATGATGGATCTTCCTTGGAGCTCATAGCTGATGAAATGAAGAAGGGGCTGGTGAATACCTTTCTCTTCTGCACACCATTCCGCCTGATGGCAACATCACAAATGACCACAGGCAAAATTCTAGAACCCGTCCCGAAAGGGAGGGTGGCAGAAGCTGTATATCATTTCCTGGACCCTAACGGCATATTTAGCTTCCTCTTCTTGCTGCCTGTCAATTTCTAGACCAGGGCAGCAAGATTAGCAGGCTTTGGCCTGCCAGCTGCACGAGCTCCTGGTTTGAAGGTTCGGCTCACATCCTTTTCAAGGTGATGACCTTCACGGTCTCCAGCCTGGGCTCTGCCCTTGTTCACAGCCTTAAGCGCAGCCTGCGCTCCAGAACTGGGACGGGTGGCGGGATCGCAGACAGAGCGAGAGAACCAGGTCTTCGCTTGAGCCATTGCAAACTAAAGTAATAAATCTGACCATGTTTTGCCTCTGTTATTGTTGTTTACTTGGATAAAATGGCCCAAATTGATGACTTTTTTATTAGGGAGGAAGAAGGGAATCCGGCCTGGAAGCTTCTGCTTATGGAAAACCTGCCAGTAAAGACTTGAGTGCAGAGGGGTGGGGAGCCGGGACAGGTGATGTGATGGTGGGGCTGTGAGGGGAAGGTGCAGAGGCGGCGTCCCCACTGGGCCCCTGGGCAGCCAGGCCTTGTCTAGACGGGGGCCGGAGGGGTCTGTGCAGTCTGTGCAGGTGGGGCAGGTGTACGTGGGGAACGAGTCTGGGGGCCCCTGAACAGGGCTGTGGCAAAGGGAATGGGTGGAGCGACGGGACGTGATTTGGCTTGGTGTGTTGGAGCATCTTGATCCAGAACCCGGTCTTGTTAGTAGACAAGAGTGGGGAAGAAAACGGAGCTGGGAAAGGAACTGGGGGGCACTGTGGAGGCTGAGGAAGTGGGCTCTGCACAGAAATCCCTGCTTAACACAGGGGCGTTTCAGATGGAGAGGGAGGGCCCTTCTCCATGCCCTCCGCAACACAGCATGTTGTCACACTTTTAAACTCCTTTCTTCCAGAGTGGTCAACAGTGGTACATCATTGGCTGGATTTGTGTGTCTTGATTTGTATATCTTAACAAATATAAATTTGTATATCTTAACAAATATAAATTGGTACCACCTTTTAAGAGAACAATTCAACCAAAGGCAGCGAAACTGGAAATGCTCATACTTTTTAACCCAGTAGTAGCATGGCTAGAAACCTCTCTCATGGGCACAGTCACTGAAGTACCCGGCGGTGTGTGTCCAGGGTGGTCACACAAACAGGCTGTGAGGGCAAAGGGCAAGTCGGTCTGTCACGACGCACCCACGCAGTGGCATCCCGAGACTCCAGAAACAGGATGCGATAGAGCAACACGAGCCGGTCCCCAGTGCCGTGCAGCAAGTGAGGCCGGGGAGACCTGAGCACACGCTGCGAACCCGTGTATGGCCGGGCGTGGCAGAGAGGCGGGCATATGGGCAAAAGTTTTCTGGAATGGTACACTAGAAACTGCTGGCGGTGCATAATTCTCGAGCCAGAGCAGCAGTTTGGAGACTCTTGCACTGCATGGCCTTCCATAGTGCTCGTGTTTCCTGCCGTGTACATAGAGGATGCCCTCGCGCCAAAAGGGGGGTCAGGGTGGGCAAGGAAGGCCAGCGTGGCCGTGGGAATCCAATGTGGGCTGTGAGGGAGGCCCCGACCCTGCGGCTGCATGTTCCTGAGACTGCCTGTTGTGGGGTCACACAGGAGGACGGCGCGGCAAGAGCCTAACTCAGCGGGGCAGGGTGGGGTGGGAAGACCTGGGTGCTAGTCTCCCCACACCCCCCCCCCCGAGCGTGGCTGTGGCTTTCCTGGGTGCCCTGGCCCCATAAGGGCCAGGAGGACCCCACATCTCCCTGGTTCATGTTCATGCCTTGGGATGTTTGGTCACCACCATGGTTTTCTGTCCCACAGGAGATACCCCGGATCCGACAAGACCATGCTGCAGAAGTGGCAGGTACAGTTGCTCCTCCGGAGGGAATGCAAGTCAGAAAATAGCTCCGCCCAGTGGTGGAGGGAAGAAGTATGCAGATTAACAAGAAGGGAGCTTCTTTTTGTTTGTTTGTTTAATTTACCAAACGTCCCAACGTTTCCCTGAGCAGGTCTCAGTGGAGGACGGCAGAACTTGAGCATTGCAGTTCCAGCTGGGGCGTAGCGTGGAGGGGGTGGGGGTGCATGTCTGCTGCCTCTGAGTGTGCGTGCACACGCCCCATCCATGGAGCACGCACATTCGTCACTTCTTGTTCCTGGGAAGACACAGGCGGCTTCCAGCCTGCACAAGTTGACATTCAGCCCAGCGTTCTCATGAAAGGAAGGGACCCCAGGCAGACCAGTTATAGAGATTATGGGACAACAAGAAAGTAGCTCTTGGTCACTCGTGTCCACAATCCTCGCCCTGGGAGCAGGCTGAGGAAAGGGGAGACCTGAGCATGCAGGTCCCACGCCGGTGATGATGGCTCATGCCCCAGGTGGCCTTGGTGAATTGTTCCCCACACTGTTCATCTTAAGGCAGCACCTCGGGAGAGTGTCATCCCAACAAGCAGTGTTATTCCCACAGGGACAAGGACAAGGCAGCCCCCCAAGTCCCAGAGGAAGACAGAGCATTCAGCCCAGGAGCGAGGGCCCCCTTCTCTGTGACTAGCATGTCCCCTCAGCTTATTTTTCTAACCAGCAAAAGGTCACCAGCAAGTTTACCCACAGATTTTGTGCTATTACTTTTTAGCAACATTTGAGTATGAATTCAGCAGTTAACACACAAGAATGCTTTATCCTTGGCTTTGCATTGCTGAGCTGTGTTTTATTTTCTGGCCGGCTTTGCTTCCTGAACATACTTGCTTCATTCAGTTCAGACTGAAATGATTGCGGACTCCCTGAGTCGGCACCGCCCGCGGGGATGCGTCGGGACGCCGGGAAGGCCTGTCCTCCCCAAGAAAGCCAGGGCTCCTGCTGAGGGCTGGGCGTGAGGCCCAAGGCCTCGGGAGAATGTCAAACATGTTCCGCCTGTCCCCTCTTTGTCTCTTGTGGTAGAAAAGGGACATCAGCAATTTTGAATATCTCATGTACCTCAACACCGTGGCTGGGAGGACCCACAATGACTGCACGCAGTACCCGGTGTTCCCCTGGGTCCTCGCGGACTACACCTCAGAGGTAAGGCGCCGCGCAGAGACGGCCGGCCGGCCTGACGCCCCTCACCCCGTGGCCAGAGCACGCGAAATCGGTGTCCAGAGCCTCTGCGAGGCGGTTCAGTCCCCTGGGCCTGGGTCCCTGGCCTGACGGCTGCTCGTGCTTGGATCTCTCGGCCTGCAGCCGTCTTCCGAGTCTGGCTGTCTGGGATCCCGATGAGCACAGTTGCCAAGATGCGCCCCAGATGTTTCCGGCTTACTCTCTATAGTGAAGGCAACTGGCCCTGTCTGCTAAGACGCTGCCATAGCCAGCACCGGGGCACAGCTGCCGTGGCGGCGAGCTGGCCGGGGAGTCGGTTCCTAGAATCAACATGGACAGAGAGGGGGAGAGGGAGGGAGAGAAAGAGGAAACGGGAGGGAAGGAGAATGAGATAGAAATACAGGGGAAACACACACTCTCCCTATAACTCCACCGCTGCAGTGACCCAGAGGATGGCAGCGGGCCTCACCTAGGATCTGCTAAGGCAGGTAGCTGCAGTCACAGGGAGGCTGGTGGCCAGAGGGCAAGGCCAGAAGACGCATCTCTTCTGCCCAGGGCTGCCTGGGTGGCAGAACCCTAGGACTTGGGAGAGGAAGACTTCCTCTTCCTCTTTGTGATCTCCGGGCCCCACTAAAGACGCTGAACGCGGCAAAACTTGTCTCACCGCCAGATGCTGCTGCTCGTGGTACTCACGGTCCATCTGAGGCAGAGGCATTTCAAACGCAAAGCTTACACGTTGCAAAGTGGTGGTTTACAAGCCTTTTTCCTTTAGTCTATACCATGTATTTAAAAATTTTATTATTTATCAACATGTAAAAATTGGGAGATTTCTCCTAAAAGAATCTGGGTTTCCAACGTCTTTTGGAAAATCAGGCTGTCTGGCAACTAGGGAGCATTCTGACCTGGCGAGGTTGCTGGGGCTGAGTGTGGGTCTCCACATGTCCCCTCCCTCCCGCCCTGGGGCCTCAGGAGGCGATGCCTCACTCTCCCGGCTTCTGCAGGCGTTTGGGATGCTGGCGCCCTCGGCAGAGCCCCCACCACAAGAAAGAGGGTCACACAGAAACACTGCCTCCTGGGAAGAAATGTGAACCCTGGAGTACACAGCTCCTCCCCTAACGCAAGAACATTTCTGCTAAAAGAACTGTCTCTGAGGTGTCAGCAGAAAAGAAGCCAAACTCTGTAGAATAATTTAAAGAGGTTTATTCTGAGGCAAATTTGAGGACCATGACCCTGAGCCACGCCCAAGAAGCGTTCAGCAAGTGGACTCGCTGTGGCTGGGTTACAGTTTGGTTTTATACATTTCAGGGACACGGGTTACAGGTAAAGTCATAAATGAATGCTTGGGAGGCATACCTTGGTTTGGCCCAAAAAGGTGGGTCATCTCCAAGTGGTGACTTATAGGCTACAGGGGGACTTAAAGACTCTTTGACTTATAATTGCTTTAAAAAAATGAAGCTTTGTCTAAAGACTTGGAATGTTTTTAAGTTAAGATAAGGAAGCCTGTTAATCAGAGACAACTACTGGCCATATGTTTGTTGTGTAAATTGAGGGCCTGCAGGTTTGTCGTGCATAGCCTTAGGCCTGTCAATGGGTTACAAAGGATGAACCCAAGAACAGGGGGGGACATGATGAGGCAGGTCCTCCTCATGGCTGGCAGTTCAGTTTTAGGATACCCCTTCTCCAGGAGGGGTCCATTCACTTAGCAGATGGGGGAGCCTTAAGATTTTATTTTAGTTCACAGAGGGCACCGGGCCCTGAAGCTCTTCATGTCTCCTCTGTTGTGTGTCCCAAGGACAGGGCAGGCTAGTCCTTGCATGCTTTCACTGCCCAGAAGGGCCTTCAAAAAAATGAAGT